TGTGTGAACATGATATTTGATTATTTCATTTTATGTCATTAACACTTCTCTTGACATAATCATGTACTTCAATACATCCATAAGCATATATGAAATTTCAAGAAATGTTTCAATGTCATTGAGTCAATGAACATTTTAAAAATATATGGATCCCGAATGCTTTTATTTCGAGATATATGTCTATGTCATGACAGGTGTGAGTGGGGAAATGGGGTGTAGGAGACAAGTGCAGCCGACCAATGTTCAATGTTAATGTTAACCGCTTTGCGGTACTACCGGTCGGATCAACCGGGTTCCAAATAATAATTGCTCATTACATTCTGATTGGTTAAGCAATACATCGAATGAGCTCACGATGTTGATGTTAATATTTTAAAGAAATAAAAGAAAAGATGATATGAAAAACACTTTTTTAATTTAAAGTAATTCATATGCATATCATAAACATGCATAATATACATGAGATTTGCTTTTTGAGCATTAGATCATTCCTCGTTATCCCTCCCCATTTTCACATATGAAGGCAAGATGATTAGAGATGAAGATTTGTAGTGACACGGACTTAGTACTATCATATTTAAATGTTGAATTCTTTTTTGTAATTAAAGTTAACATTCAATTAATTGTTCTATATTTTATTAAGCACAAATTATGCCAAAGAAAAATTTAATCGCTTTCCGCATTTATGATTTTAAGAGAAAGTTAAATTATAATATCTCCAAATCTAGGTATCTAAATTTAAGGATGTTACAAGGACCGTAGAATTTTGCAGAGAGTTTTAGATTCTGTCTCGTGGATAGTGATAATTGTCTATAAGGTTGAAGCTTTAGAAATACCCAATCACCTTCTGAGAATTCCCTCTCCATGTTTTGAATCATATATCCTTTTCATTCTTGCTTGTGCCTGTTTGATGTTGTCCCAAGCAACTTGGATAGCTTGGTCATGACTCTTGAGCACCTCTTCCACTGCTGCTAACCTTGTTGTACCAGGGACATAAGTCAAAAGAGAAATAAGAGTTTCTCCATATACCACTTCAAAGGGGGTGCTTTTGACAGATGACTGCCAAATTGTGTTGTAGCAAAATTCTGCCCATGTAAGCCATTTAGTTAGCTGCTTGGGTTGTGAGCTCATGAACCACAAATGCATCTCTAACGTTCTGTTTACCACTTTAGTCTGGCCATCTGTTTGAAGGTGGTAGCTAGAATTGAAGTTGAAATATGTTCCTCAAAAACGAAATACCTCTTGCCAAAAAACTGGTGAACGCTGAATCTATATCACAAACAATGGAACGGGCATACTGTACAACTCAAAAATATTATCAAAGAATATTCTAGCTACTCCAACAGTCGTGTATGGATGAGACAGAGCAATAAAATGGCATATTTAGATAAGTGGTCCACTATACAAAAATTTTTAATTTACCGTTAGAGGGTGGGAGTCCATCAATGAAATCCATGGACATGTCTTCCTAAACTTGCTCCAAAATGGGGAGAGGTTGAAGAAGTCCTGCTGGTGTCATATGTTCTGCTTTATTTCTTTGGCAGGTGTCACAATTTTTTATGTAGTCTTTAATTCTTTGCCTCATACCAACCCTGTAAAAATTTGAACGAAATCGTTTTAAGGTCTTAACAAATCCTTTGTGTGTACTACCACGAAATTGATCAAGTATTGTAGGAACCAAAGGTGAATCCGCAACTGAGTATATTCGATCCTTAAAGAATAGGATGTCGTTTTGAAATCCCCATGGTCCTATGGCTTCTCCAATTTGAACATGTTACAAGAAAGCTTGTAAATCTGTTTTGGATCGAATTTCCTCCTTAATGAAGTCTAGCCAATCTAGTACCACGTGTGAGATTGCATAAAGTTCCTTCGGGTCCTCATATTTCCTGAACAGAACATTTGCAGCCATATTTTCTCTCCCACTTTTGTATTCCACCTCGAAATCGAATCCTATCAGCTTGTACAACCACCTTTGTTGAGCCATGGTTGTGATCTTTTGAGTCCACAAGGGTAGCAGCGGTGGAAGAGGTGCTCAAGTAGGATCTCCACTTCTGTACTCATAATACCAAAGCCAAAATTTCTTTTTCGTAAGTAGATAACAAGAGGTGTTTACCTTGTAGGGCATGGCTAAAGAAGACTATAGGTCGATCTCCCATAAGGATTGCTCTAACTCTTGACCCTGAAGCATCACACTAGTTGAAGATGGACTCCAAACTTCACCAATACGGACTCAGTTTACCAACAAAATCAACATTCAATCGATTGACCCAAAACCTTTCACTATTCATCTCTTCGGTTGCTTTCAATTTTACCCACTTAGGACACAAAGGGAAGATGTTTTGTACCCCCAAAGTAGAAGCCACAAAGGCTGGGAATAACGAGAAGATGAACAAGACAACTTACTAGCCGGAAGCACAAAGCACAAAGGGAAGCAGTCGTGTCTCTCTCTCAAACAAAAGGGGCAAAACACTGTTTAAATGACAAAGGCATGAAGAAGGGAAATATATAGGATCACTTAGGGTACAGTAATGGGCCAGCCCAACAAGAAGACAGTAAGCGGGCCAAATAAGCCATCCACTAAGTGAAGAACCAGGTCATGAGCAATTCTAATCAATTAGACTGCTTCCAATGTCTCCCAAATGGCTTTAGAGTCGGGTGATCAATATTAGGCGTCGATACAATACTTATCCAACATTGGGTTTACAACATCAC